AGCCCCCGTACGAATGAAAAAGCTCAATGTTACTCGTTATTTCGAAATTCAGAACCATTCTACGTGATGAACCAGCTATTAAGAGTAGGAAGAATTCAACGCATTGTATTTCATTGCAGTCAAAGGAGAATGACTATTGACTTTATCCGGCTTTAATTTAGACCACGAATGGACCACGTGGGTCACTGTATTGTGTATGTCGGACAATGTAAAGGGCTTACAATGTAACTACCAAATCTTCATCAAGATTACCGAACGCAAACGAAGCACTCTGTCATGTTATTGTTTCATGCCATGAGTCGTTCGCTTTTTTTCGATTCACTCAGGTTATTCTGAACAGGAACTGAGAAAAAAGAAAACAGTCAATTCCATACGACAAAGGCGATCTTCAGGAACTTTATTGAGTGATAAGTGCGGAGTTAGGAAGAATTTTTATTGCTTTTGTTAAATGGGCTTTATTGTTGAATTTTTAAAGTGTGGAAACAATTTTACACCTTTTGTTTCGTTACACCTTAGCTGAACAAACGCAATTTTACAATTTCGCTTGTGTCATTTCTCGTGTCGCACGCATGGCATGAAATACGGCAATTATTCCATTGACACTTTGTATTTACAAGATATCGGCTAAGAATAAGCTCATTTATTGGGCCCGTTCTTGAGAACATCGTAAAGAAATAGAAAACTGTTTTGCGTTTAAACCATTATGAGGAAATTTATGTAAAGGGAAATAAATGTCGTAAAGAAACCAATCAAATTACATGTGTTTGTCGGAAGATGATATCATAGGGATTAAATTATTTTTAAAAGAGTTCTTACTGACTAAACAAACGATAATTTTCAATTTGCGGATCCAAACAAAACGTTCCGGATTTGAAGTATTTTTTTATATGCTTAAATTCAACTTGGGTAATCATTTATCGTTTTTCACAATTTTTCCTCTTTTCTTCACAATGCCTAACTTGAGAATATTTAGATCACTTCAAATTTACAGATGTTGATGTTACAATAATTTCTGCTACTTCCAAATTTCAGGTTTGACTGGTATGGCGAGAAACTCCAACACTTTGTCATTCATCGTTCATTTGTTTAACTCGTATTAACAATGTCTTTAAAAAGGTGCGAATGCCGCTTTAAAAATTAAAACCCCTTCGGCAATATGGTTTCCTTGAATTCAGAAAAAAAGGTTCTAATTTACAAGTTTTAATTACATATTCTCTTTTATATCTACCGCACATCGCCTTCTTCTACAAAGCCTGTGGTAATATAGGCCTGTCGGCTCTCAGGTCTTTATTTATGTCTTAATTTATATTTAACGATACTAGCAGCACAGAGGCTTTTTATAAAAATAGCAGATAAAGAGGTGAAATCGTCTTAAATTATTAGCATATTCTTTTGAACGTAGTGTTTTAAAATGACTTATTGTTTTTTTATAAACGCAATTTTCTACCCCTATCTTATCGGACTAGACTCAACTGTAACTGATCAATAAAAATTTCCCGGCTCATTGTTCAATCGGCTTCCAAATTTGCACAAGATCTTCAAAACGAACGCTAGTTTCGTCGATGCGGTTGATATCCAAAGACAAATTCGAATACACCGAAAACGCTGTGGAAAACTTTCCAAGAACTGAACAACGAATGTCAGCTGAAAGCTCTGGCCCATGTGCTGAGCAATTATTGTCGTCTCAGTTTTAGTTTCAAGTTTGACGAATTCTAAAACCCCTGAGGCCTAATTTGAGGTAATTATCACATCAAAGAAAAATAGGAGATATACACTCAGTTGAGGCGCTTCAGTCTTTTTGTTTCCAGATACAAAGACAGGTGAATTTGAACCTGTTTTAGTGTAAGCTCGAAATGTAAATTCCCCTTACCGTTTTTCAGACATTTGTCTTAATGCTAATACTGAGAATATGGTTATAAATCAGGTCAATATCTCCTAGTTGATAATTTTCGTTATTCTCATAAGCCGTCTGTTTGGCAATGTATTGGGTTCGTAGAGAGAAAATACGTTTTCATCACTCTGAACAACGGACATTTTAACCTGATTTAACTGAGTTTCGAATGACTTCGAAAATGGACTTACACAAAAACACAATAGCCGAGCCATAAACGGGCATATTTAAAAGCTAAATAGCTATCAAATATCCGTATGCACTTAACTGCGAATGCAGTAAATTCAATTTCAAACTTCACTTCCGCGAAGATAAAATTCAGGTACAGGTAGGGCTAGTATTCTGTAGCAACAAAACCACGCGTCGAGGCAACTGTGTTAGATCGATGAAAAAATGATAACGCGCGTTTTTGTTAAACACTCGTAAAATTTAGAATAGAAATGAATGAGTTGTCATCTTCTTGGCACCTGCTCGTAAACTTTGTCTCTTTCGCGACAGCTCTGACAATCAACTTACTTAAGTTATTAAGAAAGCAATTATTACAGAAATCCAGCTTCCGAAGTTAATGAAATTTCGCTCTAAGGTTGACATTACTGTTCTCGGCCAAGCAAAGTAACGCATTAACAAGCAAGCGAAGATTAGCCATTTTAAAGGCTCTTTTCATACCTATTGTCTCTATTAGTCTTTACGATGAATTCTTAACAGCGCTGTTTTAGATCAATGCGCCAACGTTACTACATCCAACCAGCCAGCGGTCTAATAAGGCGGGAACGTATTAAAAGCCACACACATCGACTATTCAGTACGTTTGTCCCGGCGTGAACGAAACATGAACACTGTGCAATTTTTCTTATCCCTTTAGCGTGTGCATCTCTATTCTCACTGGGTATTTGGCGGGATTTCTGCGCAGCTGCTATTGAAAGAGGTAAGCTAAAATTGTTCAATCGATTAATCCCCTGCCATGTCGTGACTTAGCGCGTGAGGACGTTTTACAATCGATTCATCATGATCTTGATCGTCATCTGCAATGAGTACAATTAATGACATTATTTTTATTTCAAGTTTTAGCGGAACGCACGTACATCGGTCGCTAATTCAATTCAAGGGGAGTTCAAGAAAGAGAAGGTGTAGATTCTAACCAGAACAGCAAGGTACTTTCCACTGATCAGTTTCAAACCTATTTGAGGGAAAAACAAAGTACAACTTTTTGTAATTGTAGTACTACACATTCATAAATATTTAGCAAATGGTAGTTTTTCTAGAAATTGCCTTTTGACGAAGGGGTTGGATAAGTCTCGACTCAAGTTGTCTTGGTTCAAAATTTCAGGAAAAGCGACTTGATCAAAGTGGCTCTTATTCCAAGCACACCATAGCTAAGATTTTAGAAAAGCTATTTTAAATTTATTTCACTTCCAACCCAATTGGAATAGAAAATAGTTTATTCGTACACCTGTAGTCTGTTGATTTACTTTACGCAACAAAATTGCGAAGACCTTGCGAGATAATAACGGCTACAAATTGCTGAAGAAATAATTTGCAATAATTGCCAGATTAAGTTTTTTAAATTATCAATTATAAACGAAATCCTGTTTTCCTGAAAATTCTATCATGTACATTTCATAAAAAAAAACTAAAATCGCACACATTTGAAATGTCATGTCTAACATTTAACTTTTGGACTTTTAAAAGAGTTCTTTCTAACACGGCAGAACAGAATTTCGTGACTTCTGTATATTTTAGTCCCAAAAAGACAGCATAAAGTTTGCGTGCTGAGAGGACAATAAAAACCGAGCTAAAAGCCGCAGAAATGGCCAAAAGTCAATTGAGAATTAATCATTTTCAGATATTACTGTTAAGACTAGAAGCAATGTAAACTTATCTATTCAAAATGTGACGATATTTCACACCATTAAGTATCTCAGCCACCATCAATAAAAGCAACTTGCGATTTCGTTTAGCGATCGTGCGAAACTGACCGTAAACCTTCCAATCGCTTGCATTTTAAGCGGTTCGGCTGGACTGAGCTGCAAAGGCGGTCTTTGTTCAAAATCATTACTTTACTGTGTTTGTATTCTTTCAGTTGTCCCATCGTGACAAAATTAAACAACAAATTTACGCATGAAATTTGCTTGTTTTGCGTAAATATAAAGGAAACAGCTCACAATATGACTAATCAACGCCTTAGATTACCACGATTTTATGCGCATCGGAACACAAACAGAATAAAGCGCGCTACTTTTCGCTCTTTAGCGTAAAGTCGCTTTCAAAAGTCGAGTGGTCAAAATTTATAATTAATTTTCGTGAGTGTTATCATGAAGGATCTCTAAACAAGATAACAGTTCTTGTAATAAAATGATTTGTGCTCTGCTATAAAGCGGCGATGTATGTGTACTTAATCTGCTCGCGTTGAGAATTAGCCGCTAGGCCGGAAAGAAAACAACAAAATCCGCGATAAAACGAAAGGCAATAGGCGAGCGATGGTTGTTTAAGCCGTTGACAATGCGACGTACTAATTTCAATTACTTTTGCGGATCACAATAAAGAGGCGCATTTTGCATAAAGTTAATTTTGCTCAACCATTTTACAAATACTTGCGATTCCCGAGGTCTCGCTCGACAAGGCATTCTTAACATTGTGAATGAGTTTGATGTCTTAACAGAGAAAACTCTTCTCGCATATTCACTGCTTGTACTCAACTCGAAATGCTCCTTTGTAAGCAATTTTTTTTTGAAAAAAAGAGAAAACAACCTTTCGTATTTCTCGGGGGCAACAAGCAAAGCTGTTTAAATAAAAATTATTTCTAATAATCCCCTCGCGAGTATTAATTGCTAGCTCTCGTTTCAGGCTGATATTTACCGTGAAAGGTTTTCTTGGACGTTTGCGTGTTCTTTCTTCGTTCACTTCATCGTATTTATAACGCTGTCTGAAGATTCGATCTATATCTGCATGGTTAAGTGTTATTCTAGGCGTTTTGTCGCATCTCATCCCACCAAAATGTACACAGTTTGCCCCCAAAAGAGTTCTTTTAATTTAATATTGAAGCTGATAATTTGCATTACTGTATGTAGATGTCTGGCTGTGATCAAGATTACTAGCTACTGCATGTTATGTGGGCTGAATGAGTGATAAAAAAACCTTGATTTCTTGAACTTGTGTTTTACTCTGTTTTAGGAAAGAACTTGAACTTTACATACCCAAGACGCATCATAAAATGGAGATTTCTCCGTACACAAGAAAGATTAAATTTAAAACTCAATTGCAACCTTTTGTGAAAAGAAATACATTATAAATTATTTTTGGACGGCTTTCAAAGCAACCACTCCACTTAAAATACACATTGTCTACCTCATTCGAAAGATAGTTCGAATATCTTTCTTTCGGGTGCTTTCTCCAGAAGGTAAGGCGTCTTTTAGGCGCCTAAAAATGACTTACTGAAGATTTTTCTATCTTTTGCGCGTCTGTTTCGTAATGCGTTAAAACCACATGCACGCGAAATTCATTAAAGCGCAGCTTTTGCATCCCCGAAAACCAGTCCGAAAATCGATTTTCCTTTAAAGTTTGAAGTTGTTCAAAGGGATTTTTCTGACGGTCTTTGAATGTCAAGGACCACTGGAACGCTTTGAACGTTGTCAGGTTAAACGAGTTAATTTTGGTAACCTCTCTTAGGCGACGATTTTGAAGCGAACCCATTTAATGTCAGGGTGTTTTACACGAGCACTCGACTGAACGCCACATCAGTTTACTCAGGTATTGTTTTAAATTGTGTTGGTTCCTAATGCAGTGACCAAACAAAAACTGCTGTATTTTCCTACGCGTAATTATCATGTTTTTACTTAAGCCAGAACAAAAGTCAGGAGGGGTTAACTCATGTCATCCAGACATGTAGTTAAGCCTCCGAACACTAAAGATGTTTATCACATTTAATAATTCACCTCGCAGGAGAAGATTTATGGCCTTAAATTTCCGGATATTTCAATTTCCCGGTTGCCTTAAGCGTTTACTTAAACCGACCAAAAACGAAAAATATATCGCTTATGGATATAGAGATATTGACAGAAGAAAAATAAAGTAAAAACTGCGTAGGGTGTACACATGTTTTATTATGACAAGTTTGCTTTTAAGTAAAAATTGCATCGCGTCATTAAAAGTTCGCAATTTCGTTAAAATTGTCTCCATTCCTTGCTTAAAAAACTCTTAACATTTATCAGTTTGTCGTGAGAACAAATTCGCTTCAACTTCTCCTGTTCGAAGAAAATGTGTTTTCGAATATTGACCCATTTTGATAACTTTATTAACGTCGAGAATTTTTTGCGTTTTAAGGAAGTTATTAAAGAATTTAATTGAATTATAAACTTCATAAACTACCAAGGTTGGCTTGTTTTACCTTGTTCTTGCTCGTTTATCGAAGAAAACGGTTAAGACGTTATCACTTATGTCTCCATGTAATAACTTCTCGTTAATATGACAGTAGTTCATGAAGGCTGAGACAGGTGATTAAAAAGAGGAAAATTGTCAGCTGGGATAACACATTGTCTCGATGCAGCAAGAAATTTGTCAAAACTAACAACAAAGCAAATTTATGGTAGTCTCTAA